TTCATAATTGTTGTGTTTGTGCAAGAAAGAGAGATAGAGAGTGAGAGAGAGAAAGTGAATATGTGTGTGTGTGTGTGTGTGTGTGTGTGTGTGTGTGTGTGTGTGTGTGAAGAGCCCCCAGTGACTGTGCGTCTGCCAGTCTTGGAGAACCTGAAACCTCAGTCAGGTAATCTTTCCTCCAAGTGTGAATGCCACTGAGGCTTTCTCTGCCAAGCTGCTCACTCTTTTCCAGATAATAGTTCAGGCACCAGAAAGAAATAAAAAAATAAAAGTATTGTAAATGTACTGTCTTTAAAACACATTTTTTTTAATAAAAATCAGAATGGGGATAAAAGTGTATTTCTCACCTTTTATGATGAAGCTTGGTGAAGGCTGTGTCTTCTGCTCACCACTTTACTCTGAGGAAGGAATGGGTTTTTGAATCCTACTTTTATCTGAGATGAATATTCCCCCCCTGCCCCGTTTACATTTTTTTTTCCAGTCTAAGGACATTAGAAGGGAATTGTAAGGATGAGAGAACTCTTAAGTGCCCACTGAGTGAAAATTGTGACATTTAGAGATGATATTTGTTCCTTTGTTTTCTTTGTCCCAGATGCCATCTTTTCAGAAGTTTTAGAGAGTGGAAAATAACATGTTGAAGGTGTGGTGATTTAACATTCTTAGTCATAAGGGACTTTTAAGGATATACAGTTCAATCTCCAGTTTTAAAATGGGATTAGGTAATAAAGATTCGTGTTGAATCCTATTGCCAAACTCCTTGTAGCTACAAAATCCTGTTTTTTAAACAATGGCAACACACAGATGTTTTTAAATGCACCCCCCCCCCCAATTCTTTAGAGGGAATAATCTGCGAATTTGTGCAGTTACATTTATGAGGATAAATGTAAATAATTAAGAATTTATTAAGAAAGAGTAAGAATTTTATTGAGTATTGGTTTAGACCTCTCCCTTTTTGTGGGCTCAAGAACAGTGGATGGTGATGTTCAGATGGTTCTGGGATGCTGTGGACGACAGAAGACCCTCCCAGCCCGAGTTGTGTGCTGTAGTCTGGGATTACATCACCCTGTGCTGCCTATAGGTTTGAAAGAGCTGCAGCTAGAGTGGTCCTTAAGGCAGAGATGTAGAGATGAAGAGACTTCATCATGCTTGGAAAATAGATGGTTAGTGAAGAAGATGAAAACTCTCAAAGACATTGACACACTGACTGCAGTAATGGACTTGAGCATAGTAGAGACTGGAAAGATGGCCCAGGATTAGACAACATTTCAATTTCTTTACCATTGGTCACTGGGAGTTGAAAGCAGCTCAGCCACACCTAACAAGACTACTTTTCCTGTGATAGCGAGGCCCCCGCAGGACTCTGTCTCTCTGTTGCTGTTGTGGTTTGTGTACTGTCGAGTTGGAACCAACCCTCAGCTGACCCTCCAGAGGATTTTCAGAGGCAGTAATCACAGGAAAGGAGACAGCCCATCCTTCTCCTGTGAAACATCTGACGGATTTGAACCACGCGCCTGCAGGCTTTCAGGGCAGATTCTTACCACTTGGCCACCGGAGATTCCCTACTCTGCCTCTCTAGTTTCTTCTATCTCAGTCTTGCTTCACCTCCCCCCTTTTCTCCCTGCTGTATGTTTTCCATTTTTGTTTTTGGTTGGAAATATTCATTCATGCGTGCATGGGTTCAACAAGTGCATCCTCTGTTACACGGGTTTTGACACTGAGAATACAGTAATATATGACAGCAGACCAAGCCCTGTGATTATGGTGATAATGGGCAAGTGGAAGGAGGAGTAGAGGCCTGGGGAAAGGAGAGGGCTGCTGGTGTCCTGTGATCACTTGACAATTTTAGACATTTTTGAAGAAAATAAATATACAGCAGAACTTCTTATTGACCAAGAAGAAGAAATCAAAGAAGGTGGCGAAGACAAAATTGTACATGATGACAGAATTTAGTAAAATTTGACTATCTTTTTTCATTTATGTCTATGCACTTTTGATTATTGGATTATTGTTGTTGTTGTTATGTGCTGTCAAGTTGCCTGTGACTAGTAGTGTTTGTCTACCTGCTATTTGTTAAGTGCTTATTGTATGACAAGCATTGTGCTAAGTGCTTTGTGTAACTAGAACCCTATAATCTAGAGGTTATGCTCTCATTTACTAATTAAATAGGCAAACCCCAAGGAGTTTAAGTAAGGTTTACACCCAGGTAATAGTGATAGGGCCTTAAGTTGTGTCCATGAATCTCAACTACAGAGTTTGTTCTAAGTATTGGAAGCTTACTAGCCTTTGCTTTTATTGTAATGTTGAAAGATTTTTCATTTGTGTTGTTGCTTCCTTTTTACGAAGTTGCCAAAACCTTATGAGCCTATATTTCTTAAAATTTAACCACCTGTAACTGCATTCATAATTAAGATTTGTATTTAGGTAATTAAGTTAGAAGAGACATGTAATTCTTGTTAAACTTTAAAACTTAGTGTACCAAATGTAGATAGGAGAGGGTGGAGGGACAGCGCAGGAGAGGGAGACCCTCGATGAGATGGATTGATTCAGGGTCTGGGGAAATGGGGGTAGGTGTCTTGGAGATAGTGAGGCTGTCACAGGGTAGAGCAGGGTTTAGGGCTGTTGTACGCAGGGTCACTATGAGTCTCAGGTGACTTGATGGCACACAACAACTTTTGTTTTACTCTTGTTTCCACCCCATTTGTAAGATACATAAGGCTCTACATAGCCCCTACATAATCTATGGGGCATTGTGTATTAAAGGCAGAGGTGCCCTGGCAGTTTGACTCTGCCAGGTGCGTTAAGGGGGAATGATGGACACTCATGTCCCATATGATTGACAGGCTCTGAAAACCCAGGGCAGGTGCGGCTTGGAGCTGGTTCTGGCTCGGTGGCAGTGTTTACTCAGAGGTTGTGTTCCTGTAAAGGTACTTTAAACCCACAGTTCTGTAATTCAGTATAAGGTCCTCACCATTATCAGCAGAACACCCCCTTATGAAGCCCTTCATTCTTAGAATTGCTCTCTTTTTATATGGCTCCTGGCTTTATTCTGGTAAAAGGCGATTTCGGTAATTGGGGTGGAATCATTAAAAGGCAATGTGTGGTGCCACCTGAGAGTGTATAATTTAGAATGGGCTAGGCACCTTTGGTGGTACTGTGGTTAAAACATTTAGCTGCTAATCAAAAGGCCAGCAGTTCAAATCCACTGGCCACTCCCAGGGAAAAAGATGAAGCACTTTGCTTCAATAAAGATTCCAGCCTTGGAAACATCATGAGCTTTCCCTCCTTGGCCCTGCCGGGTTGCTGAGTCAGAATCACCTCGATAGCAGTGGATTTGGCTTGTGGGTAGAACTAGAAAATTTGTCTTTGGCCAACAAATTCAGGGGTGACCCATTTCCTGCGGATTTGTGGATCACATGTCTAAGGCTGCTGGTCTTGAGAAATGATGCGAGTTCCAATTGTTGCTCTTCTTCTAACTGTATGTTTCCAGTGTTGGTTATGTACTGATGGTACAGATGTTGCAGAATTTATTGCATTATCTTTTTAAAATGAGTGACAGGGATGTGGTTTAAGTACAGTTACGCTTACAACTTGGAAGTTTCCTATAGGTTACTTTACTTTAGAGAATTTCAAAGTGCAGGTTTTAATTTAATTTCATTCTAATTATTCTTTATCTAAGACACAAAGGCACACAGGTTCAGTTTTTAGAACGAAAATTGTTATAACTTGGGCATATATTTTACAAGGTGATTTTACATGTTATAATTGATTTTTGAGCGTTCCAGAGGATAAGGATGATGAAGTAATTGAAAAGTAGCAAAATGTTCTATTTAGTGTGAGAGTTAAAAGAATGAAAATGTGTTGGGCGAGTGTGAGTTGAATTTGGTCCTCATTGTACATACTTAGAAAATAGAATACATTCAGAATTTCACTCAATATCAACATAATCAATTTTACCTTTTCCTTTTGAAGTGTGTCTTGCTCCTTTGAGGCTGTGATGGTAGAGATGGGTGGTTCTTGAAAAGATGAAAAGGCAATCAGACGTTTGGCCAGGAGGTTGTCCTGGAATGCACTGTGTCGGTGATTCCCAAGTGCCTCTGTGCCGACACCATCATGAGAATCTCAGCCAAAGTCGTCCTTGAACTTGTGTTCGGTGGATCTGGTTCTGGTGAATCTTGAGCGCATATGATAGCATCTCTTGATGACCCTCCTGATAACCCTATGCAATCTGAAGCTTCGTTGATAGACTTACTGCTGTGCCCTGAGCCACCGAGGCAGAGTTCTTCCTCTTACTGGGGCCTCTTCGGGATGATTGTGTTTCATTTGGGGCCCTGGGAGCAATTTGGTTTGTTCTAAAAGCCAGGAGCTACGCTGCTGGAAAGGTCAGGCTGCCTCCAAATATGAGGACTGTTGTTAAGTAGGACTGGCCCAGTGCGTGGACGCCCTACTGTGTCATGATCCGTTGATGTCAGTCTTTCTTGCTGTAATGTTGGATCTGCGAGGACAGGGCCCAAGCCATTTTGTTCACCACGATTCCTTGATAACCTCATACAGCGCCTGGCGTGTGCTCAATAAATATTTGAGTTGACTCAATTTTGAAAGGAAGATGATGGCTGCTTTCAAATATTTGCCATGCATATGTCTTGTTAATGAGATTTATTACTTCTGTCTCTAGAGGGCAGGCAGAGGCCCCAGGGACAGACATTTAGGTGGGTCAGTTTCAACTTCACATAGGAACTTTGTATAACTTCCATGTGTGTGGTAGTCATGTCATCCTGCCACTTGAGGTACGCCGGAGTCTGTTACTTTAAATGACCAGGTAGAGGCCGTGTGGGGAGTTGACTAGGAAATATTTCTGCTTTTGCTGGCTCTAAAAGGTGTGATGCACCTTATACACGTTGCATGCATTTCCTCTACCTTTTTGTTTCAGTGTTTCAACCTATAGACATAATGCCATCCTATAAAGTCTTCTCTCTCAGTTAGACATTGTTTGTTTTCTTTAGACTAAAGCAAGGCAAAGAGGCAGACTGGGAGCAGACCTCTGCTGATGAGCGGCTGACGAGAGCGATTCTTCGAGAGAGACTCAACAGCGAGGCGGAGCGCTCCAACGCAAAGCACCTGGTGAGTCCCAGGGCACCGCAGAAGCACCTGGCAGCGAGGAGAGCGGTGTGCCTGGGAGAAGCTGCCACTGCCTGTTAGCAGTTAGTGTTGGTCGCGCTTCGAGTGGCTTGACTTTGCTTTTCACAAGTAGCTGTTAGCTATCAGTTTGTTCAGATTACTGAGTCACCCAAGTCAGGACGTGAAGACACCACCAGCATCTTGCAGAAGGGGTACCTGTTTGTGCACTGTCCCCCTCTCGGGGTGGTGGTGGTGGTGGTGGAGGTGGTGGTGGTGTTTCCTGGGGTCTGAGCCGTGGAGGCTGCAGCCTTGCCTCTGTCCCTGCTGGCAGCTGCCAGCCGTTAGCCTGGGGAAGACTCCAGCCCATGTGGTGAGGTTTCAGCAGTCACTCTGGGCTTCTCAAAGGGGAGAAGCTAGAATAATTAGAGGGCTTTCTGAAAATAAATAGTTGGAGTCTTTTTCTTTTTTTTAAGAAAATAAAATTTTTGTAAGGGGAAAAATATACATCTTAAAAAATGATTTTCACAAGTCAAGAGACGTAAACATGCTTTTAAAAAATGATTACTAAAAGCCGTACACTACAAAGGCCCCGAGAATTCTGTCACTCTGATGGAACAATGATTTCAGTAGTGTGTTCACCTTCTAAACGGCTTTTTTCTAAATCTGTCACATATTTTAGAGCCCTGATGATACAGAGCTTAAGTGCTTGTCTAAAACCGAAAGGTTGGTGCTTTGAACCCACCGAGCTGCTCTTCTGGAGAAAGTAGTGACTTGTGACTGTAAAGGTTGCAGCCTAGGAAACTGTATAGACCCATTGTTCTGCAGTCCACTGTGACTCAAGCCAGTTCTCCGTCCACTTTGGAGGCTGTAGATCTTAAGAGGAGCAGGCTACTTCCTCCCTCTGCTGAGAGCCTGGTGGATTCAGTGCCAGCCTTTCTGGAGTTCCTCAGAAAACATTTTGAGGTGGTTCAGCTCTGCCATGTGATGCTGAGTTGGTGGGTACCTAACAACGGCAGCAGCAGCAACATTTAAGAATTTGAGTAATGTGTTTAACATCGTCAACCCCTCAGACTGCTGACCATTCTTCTGAAATGTGTTTTTAATGCCCACATAGCATTCTGTCTGTGTCTAATATAATTTGTCACCACTTTGCCTTTGTGAGCACAAAGTAATTCCTGGCTTGGAGGCTGGAGCTCTGACTGCTCGTTCCCATCTCAGCATTTTTTTTCTAGAACTTGCCAGAACCCTCTGTGTTCTCTGGAGTGTGGTGGAAAGCTTTCAGGAAACATAGATGAGACCGTAGAGTAGAGGACTTGGGAGTATAAGTGAGGGTGTGTGTCCAGTATGCAGTTGGGAAGTCATTGGCAACGTGTAAGAAAGAGGTCACTCTCTTTATTCTTCTGGATTTTACTTTTGCTGTTTCTATAAGAGGCCAACAACCCTGAATCAAGCCCACTGCCCTGCAGTTGGTTCAGACCTTTGGGAACCATGTATGACAGAATTGACTGGCCGTAGGGTTCCAGGACTACGGATCTTTACTGAAATAGATGCCCTCATCTTCCTGGTGGGTTTGAACTTCAGACCTTTTGGTTAGCAGCCCAGCACTTAACCCATTACACCGTTATGACTCCTGCAACCTTCAGCTAGCTGCAGATAGGAGAGTGCGGGGCAGGCGTGGGAACCCCTACCTTTGCCATTTTCTCCTAGTATCTACTAATTATGTCTCCTGCCCTCCTACATTTTCACCTCTTCAGGGTCCACATAAGTGACTGGCATTGTGTCTTCTGTTATGCGACTCTAGCAGTTCTGGAGTTGTGTGATATACACGGCAAGTTACAGTCTTCACCAACACCTGAATTCCAGCATCTCCCTCAGGACTGGGCCTTTGGAGCCTGAAGCCCCCAGGGGAGAGTGTGGGGTCACTTAGGTCGGGTCACGACCGATTCGGAGCACCCTTTAGATGCTGCGTGGTGGGGACTTAGCCACTGCCCTGGGCTCCCTGTGTCAGTTTAGGCACCTTGTGACTCTGATTTCCTCCCCTTTCCTGTTCTTGTTAAGAAGCTCCGTAGAGTAGGGCATTATGTATCCTCGAGCTACCAACTGAAAGGCGGTTCCACTAGAGAAAGATGGACTTTATTCTCCTGGGAGACCCAGTGGAGGGACGCTGTGAATTGCAATCACAAATAATTGTTATTATTTGATACTGTAGAAAACATACATGTTCATTGACTAAAGATCAGAAAGTTAATTAAATTTTAAAAAAAGTGAAAATCATTCAAATGACTACCACCTAGAGATAATGATGATAACCATTCTGGTTTATAGTTTTTATAGGCCTTTTCACAATCCACAAAACTATATAAAAACATTTATATTGATTACATATGTGTGTATTTCTTCCAATACAGTAAGAGTGTACATACTTCTTTATAGCTTTTAAAGTTACCCTTCACATTAAAGGAAGGAAAAAAGATTATAGGAAATCATCTTCTTTGGTGGCCTAGTAAATTACGAGTTGCACTGCTAACCCAAAGGCAAGCAGTTAAAATCTACTGGCTCCTTTGAGGGAATAAGATGTGCAGTCTACCTACTCCCATGCAATTTATAGCCTTTAAAAAAACCCTTGGAGGGTCAGCTATGAGTTGACTGTGACTCCATGGCACATACTGACCAGTAAATATCTATTTGTATGATCACCTACTTGTAGCTGAATGTATTTCCTTGAATTTCCACTTAATTATTAAAATAACGTATGGATATGACAGAAAATTTTGGAAATTCAAAATGACTCAGGAAGTGAGCGTCACTGTAATTCTGTCACATGTAGCTAGTGTTTAGGAACCGAGTGACAGAGTGATGGGGTGTGGGAGTGCTTGCAGGATGACTGTTGGGTGATCCCTGGCCCCCCGCGTGGGGACAGGGTGGGCAACCCCAGGGCCCAGGATTCGTCGGAGAGTCCCTCTCGAATGCGGTTCTGTTCTGTTGTGCATGCTGGACCCCTTTGCTGCTGTCCTGAACCCTAACATGAGGACCTCTTGAGTGACGGCCCAACATTGATCGACTTGTCTTTATTTAGAACCCAAATGTTGCAGCCCGCAAGAAAGTAAAGGTTGGGCTTTCACACATTCGAAGTAATTGGAAAGCTGTCTTTCAAGAGAAAAACCTGATGTGATGTGGTTCTGTGGAATGAAGCGGGCTCCCTGCCCCTCCCCGTCTTCTCCACCCACGACCGGTTGACATTTAGACTGCTGTCTCCATCACCGAGAGCCAGGCTTGACTTGCCGCGGTGGTTGGAGTAGCCAGCTTTATTGATGCTCTTTGAAGGGCGAAGTCATAGTGGCCCTGTTGAAGTTTAAAAATAGGATCTGATCCAGACTTCTCCCTGTTCAGGGCTGGCTTCAGCAGGGGAAGCTGCTTATCCTGCTCTGGATTCTAGAGAGCAGACCAGCCCCTCTGTCTCTCACCAACACGCTCACCGAGGGCCATCGAGTCAGAATCAATTTAAGGCTGACCCTCAGAGGCTGTGGCTCACACAGGAGGAGACTGCCTGACTTTCTCCTGTGGAGCGGCTGGTGGTTTTGAGCTGCCTCCTTTTGGGTTGGCAGCACAGCTTCTTGCCCACGAGGCCACCAAACCCTCCTAACTGGCTTTAACCAGCTGATGTTGCCCAGAGCTTGTGTGGAGAGGCACTTCATTCAGAATTTTACCCACATGGAAACATTAACATTCCCACGAAAGGTATGTTTTGGAGGATCAAGGAAGCACCCCTTGTAAAGAATGAAGACTGATTAAAAAGAACAGTACCAGAAAATATGTAAAATTTATGTGACTGGACAGTATATTTAATAGCTTGTCCATCTAAGTTTAATATTTGCTGTGTCATTGAATTATTTTAAATTAGAGAACTGTTCTTTGGTGCTGTTGATTCCCCATAGAGCTGTGTAGGCTGTAATGTTTCACTGAAGTAGATCATTAGCTCTCTTCAGCCAAGTGGAGTCCCTGGATGGACTTGAACTGTGTACCTTTAGAATAGCTGCTGAGCATTTAACCATTCTGCCCAGAGTAGTGGTTTGTGGTTGGTTTGAGTATTACTGTTTATAATTGATTTCTTTCTAGAATGCCAGTTAAATCTTTTTTGTTGTTATTAAGTTGTTATTTTTTGTTTTATTAAGTTGTACTAATTTAACATTAGTCTCATCCCAGAACTCTCTAGCATTTTCTTTTTATCCAAATGTTACTTATTGATCTTAAGTACTGTGGCCTTGAACCTGCTGCATAGCTGACTCTCTGTCAGGTGTTCGGAGGCAGTAAATCACATGAGAGGAGATTGCCCATTTTTCTCCCACGGGGCAGCTGGTGGATTTGAACCATATTCCTTAGGTTTGACAGTATCGCTCCTTACTACTAAGCCACCAGAGCTCCCAAACTGTATCAGTAGCCGCAATTTATAGATATTTACTTTAACGTTCTGTAACTTGTCGACGGAAATATGAGATGATTGTTGTTATATTTTCATCCTTTGGGCAGGTGTTCTATGTGTGTTTGGTGTATGAAATGCATTATGCTAAATATTAAGGATATATAACTGAAACAGTCATAGTCCTATCTTTAAGGAATTCCCAGTATACAGGGAGAGACAAAGGCATTAAAAAGAATGTCTAAATATATTGCCTATTACGGAGTCATCCTGCTTCTATTCTTGTGAGGACCCACATTTTGTCAAGTGGGGCTTTTGTCTGCCTTTTTAACTCACCACAAAGTAGTATTCCTTTTCTACACCTGTGTGTGCCCAATACATGACGGTCCCTAGCAAATAGTAAACAGTCAGTAGATGCCTACTGATTGGATGGATAAAGAACTGGGACCCTGGGAGTGGAGAAGGTAGAAAAGGTCTCCTAGGGGAAGGGCTGGCTGAGCTGGATTGCTGGGGGTGGGGAGTGCAGGGAATTAGCAAACAAGACTAGGAGTCCAGTTGGGGTGCAGCCTACGATGTTGTAGACAAA